GTAAAGACAGAAAAAAAAAAAGAAAAGAAAAAGAAAAATTGAACATACAAAATAAGAGGCAAAAAATTAATAGATAGCGAGGCACTTACTCATCGTCGAGATTGGAAATGGTTGGCCTGAAAATTAGCAGAGTTTGGCGAGTCGCGGTGGAGCACGATGGATCGCTGGGAGCTTGAAAGATTGAAAAAGGGTGAAAGAGACCACAAGTATTGCTAAAGAAGAATATCTTCACAAAAGGTGAAAACCGAAAAAATTCGGTAGAGGAGAATATTTATATGTGAGAAAGAATGAAAGTCGAACAACCTTGACCGTTAGATCGGGGCCGACATCAACGGCCAAGATCTAACGAGTGAGCTGGAAGGGCATTTCGAGCAGGGTCGTCGGATCAAGGTTGAAATCTATGGCTAAGATCTAAATAGGCAAAGTTGAGAGGAAAGGTCGTATGGAGCCGTTCAATCGAGGCCGATATTAGTGATTGCAATTTAGTAGGCTATTTGAAGAGTCAGCAGGAGTTCAACAGTCGGAATAAATGCGAATCGCAAGGTCACCGTTAATGGAGAATTTTAATGGGTATGTTGTATGAGAACGCGATTTACGGAGTGATGATGTTGATGGGACATTGTGATTGGTCAGATCTGACAGAATGACAAAGATTCGAAATTTAAAATTTGAAATAAGGACTAGTGGGGAGGTCCTAAAATGGTGTGGTAGAATTTAAGAAAACGCAAGCAGACAGGTCAAAAATTAAGAGTCAGAATCCATCAATCAAAACTAAGGACAAGAATATACTCTTAGATCAAGTTATCACAATTCGTCCAGAGTGGGGGGACCATATGATGTGTGAGATACCACACCAAATAGAGCAAACCCAGCAAACTGGCCAATCAGGCCAAGCGAACTTGTTGGTCAAGCACAACCACAAGAAGGTCGAACGGAGGTTGGACGCCAATGCAAAGCAAGGACTCATCAGGTCAGAGAAGCCGTGAGGGTTTCAAAGGGACCACGACAGGTCGAGCTTGAGTACTCGGATGGCCTATTGAAAACTCGACCTAAGAGTTAAGGTTGATCATAGATGACCAGAAGGACAACATTTAGGCTCGGAACATGCAACATTCTACCTCGACATGATTCGAGCTAATCCCACCATTAGGCAGGCGAATGAGAAAGACTAATGAATAAGAAGGAATATCAATAGAATAAGTACCCCACGTGTATTTACATGGCAGTTGGGGTAGATCAGACAGTACGAACGGGCAGTTTGGACAGCCCACTCGGGCTGTCTTGGGCAACAATGTATTATCTCCTAGCGAGACATGCCCATTATCATATTGCGTTCTCTATATTCTCTACATAAATTTAGTGAGATTATTACAAACTCAATGACTAGACAAAAAAACTTGGTTTGGATACAAAAATTTTCACCAAAAATTTCATCAAACTCAAAATCTCACTGAATTTTAACTCAATTTAATTATCCTTAAATATTATCAATATAATAAAATAATACTACAGAATCATTTTTACACGTCACATCTATTTTAATTCATTATCCATCCACTTACATAATTTTAACTAATTATCACTCTATCATCTATCTCCTACTTTTTCATCAAATCAACTTTAATTATTTTATTTTAAATATTATATTAGTATAAACTCAAAATTCCACTAACAACTAACCATACCATTTCTTTAAAATTAATTTTGATTAACTAATGAAATCCAATTTTAATGGAAATTTTTGTATCCAATCACGAGTGTACATACATATATGAGCATATTAAAAATGCTTTGAGTGATGGGTTCACATGCCATAAACATGGCAATCGCACGTCTCAAACGTGGTACGTCTCTAAAAAGATAAGCATATAGCCGACTGATTAACAAAACAAGAACCTGCCTGTGACCTTTTCTCCTTTGTTCTTTTCTTTTAATTTAACAAACATGCTCCCAGGCTAGAAAGAATCAAATTAGAGTTTCACCTTTATTAGCTCCAACTTATCATATGAAGTTGAGTGTATACATGCATGTGAATGTTTGTTGTTTTAGTACCACATGCCAATATAATAATTGGGCACTAGGTAGCAAAATTGGAATTAAAAACTATAATAGAAAAAAATAAATGCAAATTACATTAAGTTAGCCAGTACAAGAAAATCCACAAAGCCTGTTTAAGTATTTATTCACAGTTTTTGGATTTTGCGGGCGGTCAATTTTTCAAGTTTGGCCTGATTTTAATTTAATCTGCATGATCCACAGTTATAAATAAATTATGTGATAATAAACCAAATCTCTGATTAAAAAATGTCTTGAAAAATAGCAGCTTTAGTGGTCAACCATGTGCTTGGTTGGGTTTAAACATATGTAAGCTCTTTTAACTCATTTGGAATCCTCATGGATTGCTGATATAAATTAATCATTATTAGTTTTAGATTCGGCTTTGGGAGAGGACAAAAACAAGCAAAGCAATGAAATATTTATATATGGATTATATTAAAATCTCAATCAAAAGGCATTACACAAAGACAAAGATTTAGTGGACGCATGATAATGTGTTCTAACAGTATAGCCCACAAGTAATATAATTAAAAATATATAGGATATAATAAAATTTATATATATATATATATTTTTCGAAACGATAGAGATATTATATATAAACCACACAAATTTACAAAAGTACAACAACCAGCTGAATACAAACAGCTCACAGCTAAATACAAACAGTCAATAGTTGAATAAAAGTGGGAGGACAGTCAAAAGACCGCCTAGAGCCGACCCAATGGGGTAATACTCACTGACACGAAAACACTAACAACTTAAAAGACCCCAACAGGGTAATACCCAAGTGTCTGATCCCAACAGGATAATAAATTGACACTAGGGCTCACAGAGGCCAACGGCCCAAACCAAAAACATAAGTCCTAATACAACACAATACATACAACACAAAACAGACAAAATTAATACGCAAAACACAAAACGCCCTTCCCCAACACATAAAACGGATCGAAACCAGTAGAGAACCAATCAATCCAAGAAAGATCCGAAGTCCTAGGCCCAACTTCTGAAACTGCTGTCGAACGCCTATATAGAAGCTAAACCTGGATCCCAAGACTAAGCCGAATCAACCCACCTTCGACCGAGAGGACAACCAGCCAGCTCCCGCCTTCTTATAGTAGCTCGCCCAACACCACTAGCCAAGCTAATAGGCACCGGGCCCATCCAGTTCCCAACACTAGAGAACCAGATGGAAAGAAGCTGCCCGTTTCTGCTATTACTGCACCCCGACAAAGTACGAGACGCCGGAGTCCATTGCCACCCGCAGACCAACACGCCTCTCAATACCACTACCGGCCGCTGATAACTCGAGCTCAAACCCCAAAAGTCCAAACCTAGAAGCCCATCCTGAATACGACCCGATGAACCTCCAAGCTCTAACCCAATGAAACGGAGTAGCAAAGCCACCAATCGAAGCCAATCGGCGGCCACAAAGGGAAGCCACCAACTGCCGACCGAGGCTCACCATCTCTGTCACACTTTGCCGACGACCGAGGCCAGAGCTCACAGCAAAGCAACCATCGCAACAAAATTGAAGAGACACAATGTCGGGGATGGCCGAGCGGTCGTGGGTGACCACTGGCCCGAGCCGCGCCTTCGCCGGAGAAGGCTAATCGGCGGCGAATTGAAGAGTTTAGGCTAGGGTTTGTTTTGTCGGAGAAGGAAGGGTCGAGAGAACGAGAAATTAATTAGCTTTTTTAGATCAATACATTCACATTAATTATATATATATATATATGGGTTGGTTCAAATAAAAACTAGTTCTGGTGTAAGAACCGTGAGAACCGTATTTGATGCTACTTTTAATTATGTATGATGCTATTTTTAATATTATATTGTGCTATTTTTTTCACAAATGCTAATATAAATTGTGTTGCTATTTTTTAACAAATACATCATGATTAAAAATAGCATTAAAACACAATCATCATAGCACTACATACAACTTAAAATAGTGATTCTCGCGGTTCTCACACTAGCACTTGGTTCTCATTTGAACCTTATCCTATATATATACACACACATATAAGGGTTTCATTAAATGAGGACACCTTTCAAAATGATGACGCGTACATGGCGGCTTTAGAAGGGTCAACGCGAAAGCCACAGGACCCAGATACGACATCATCGTCACCAGTGGCTCCATGATACTCGTCTCCACTGCCCAAACATTTTAATTAAAGATATACATGATGCATATCCCACTTATATATAATTTCAGAACGCGTTGAGTCTAAGTGGCAGCTTCGCACGATTCGTAATCTTACATGGCAAAATATTATGCTTTGTAATATGGCTTGGATAAAAATTATTAATTTTTATACCAAATAACTTAGGTTCGGATTACCATATATATACACATATTTAATATATTTAAATCATTTCATATAAATCTATTTATTAAACACATTTTGTGCTTTGTTCATATTATTCCTTTATATGTTTTAAATAAAAATATTATAAATAAAATTAATGATGTATATAAATTAGTTTTCAGAATTTAAAATAATATTATTAATTAAGTTAGTTATTTATTATAAATAGCTATATATTGTCATTTATTTATTTTTTTCAAGTTCAACAAAATATATAATTTTGTTTTTTTTTTTCATTTCTATTGTACATTTAATTATTTTATCAATCACCCGTGTTGTACACGGGTATTGTACTAGTTTAGTTTATTCGTGATGTATATTTAGTTTATAACAAGTTCATATTTAGTTCATTTATAATGCATATTTGTTATGTTTAAATTAAATATATACATGATGCATATTTAATTCATTCGTGATGCATATTGAGTTCAGATGAAATGCATATTTAGTTCATTTATAGTGCATATTTGTTGTACTTAAGTTAAGTATATACATGATGCATATTTAGTTAATTCAGTATGCATGTTTAGTTCATATGAAATGCATACTTAGTTCATACATGATGCATATTTGTTATATTTAAAATTAAATATATAATGATGCATATTTGGTTGCATATTTCGTTCATTGATGATGCATATTTAGTTCATAATAGGTGCATACGAAATGCATATTTGGCTTGTGACGAGTAGACCATGTGTGGAAGAACTTTGAACGTGTGTTATTTGTACGATTCTAGATGGTAGGGGAACATTTTTTCCAGTTAAATGTTAACTATAAAAAATCTCAAGGTAAAATGTGTTTAGCACACATTGTGACATTATAAACGAGTAGATTAACTTATCTTTTCAAATGGTTAGCGTTTTCTGCTTGAGGACAAGAGAAATGCTAAGTGTGGGGGAGTTGTTTTGTATGTTTTTGTTTCTTATTTTATGTGATTTTGAATGATTAATGTGTGCTCATTTTAGCTATATTAGGATTTTCCTTGTCCATTTAGTAGTTTTGCTCGTTTATGTATCTTCATGTCGTTTTGGTATTTTGTGCATTTTATTTCACTTTTTATATGGTATTTTGTAGGAAAAATGCGCTCTATAAGTCAACGAAAAAGCAAGTGGAAAGTGTTGAAAAATTTGACTGACTGAAAATGAATCGTTTTGGACAAGAGTGCGATTTTTTTTAAATGAATCAAACGTCCTACTGAGCAAAATGAGAGCTCTTAGGCAACATTCGGGAGCTAGCAAAAATGCCGAATTACCCTGCTAGTTTCTCCGTCTATGCACTCTCAAGTTTGCGAGCCCGAGAAAAACTCATAACTAATTCAACGATTGGATCACGAATGCAAATATATTTTTTTCTACTCTCGATTAAATTGGTTATGGTTATTGATACGACCTAACAACTTTTCCTTCCTTACTTGTTCGATAGTCAGAATACGATCTCTAATCTATACTTATATAATAAGGTGTACCATTTACGAAATTTAGTAAGTTGAAAAGTCAATGCAATAAATGCATTACTATTTTGAGCAACATAATATAATATCATATCTATACTTATATAAAAGGAGATTCTATTTACTACATTTACTATCTAGAAAAGTCAACTGCATTAAATGCCATTACTATTTTGGTATTATAATATTTTATTTATTTAATTGATTGATTTATTTGTTTTATTTTAAAAAGGTAAGTATAATAAAAAGATTTTAATAATAAAAAAATCAAATACCAAATAAAAATGTATACTTTGACTTATTTGATTATATTTGGTATTTGATTATACCAAATATATTCCTATTTAGTATATACATTAAATACTTACTAAAGTATTTATTTGTTTTATTTGTCAAAGTTAAGTATAGATTTGTTTATATTATCAAATCATAAAAAAATATTAAATCCATATTGTAAAAAAAAAAAATATAATTTTATAACAATTCTACTACACTATTTAACAATATTCCTTTTTTATTATATAATAAAATAATAATTAAATATTATATGGTGAACAACAATAAGTAAAACTGTTACTTTCTCTTATATCAAGGGATAAATTTATATGCTAAAATTAAATTTTTATTAGTATAAATGTTTTAGTGAGATAATATATTAATTATTTTACAAGCTAGCCCTAACATGCTCATATTTAATGTTTTAAAAGATGTAGAAAAAAAACTTATAATAACTCTATTGTTTTTTAGACTTAAACGTTGATTAAAAGAGGTAAAAATTCCTAATTTTTTAGACTTAAACGTTGATTAACACCATAGATTGAGAGTTTATATTTAGTAAAATTCCTAATTGTAATAAAAAAAATAATTTTTGCTATATTTTAGAATATCTTTAAATTCATTATAAAAAAAAAAAAAGAAAAAAAAATACAATGAAAAAAGCAAGTCGGCTACATATCGATTTGTTGTACTCCTCAAATCACATTCACAATCTGGCTACAAGGAAAGGAAACTCATTGATTAAAATATTATTTTGTCAGTAGTCTTAATGTACAAGAGGCTTTAAGACTCCACGTGAATATTATAAAACTTTTATTGAACATTGTACAATTTTTTTGCGTATTATAAATTTTTATTGAATATTGCATCTTATAATATAATATTCTCCAAATAAATATATCCCGTGTTTCGCGGGTCACGTACTATATATATCCCGTACATTTTTCTTTATTGATGTATATAATTATAAGCCTGAATAAATAGCCTTAAAATTGTGCACCCCGTGCATCGCACGGGCTCTGTACTACTTACTTCCTTAATCAACAGACAACCCTAGTTACGATCTTGGTATTTAATATATCAATAACATTGATATTTAGAATGACCATCAATTCTAACAAATAAACACACATGTAGATTCATTTGGACTATATCATATATCTCCCTATGCATAGAATCAACGACCCTTAGTAATCAACTATGCTATTTGTCACCATATTAGAACAATCAAACAATTATGGAATTAACGTTCTAAATAACGCCGATATGTGTCTTAATAATTGAATGAATGACCAGTTTGCATCAATTAATCAATCAAAACACAACTGATAATAATCACAAGATATATATAAATAAAATAGAAGTATGGAATATAAATTCAATTAGACCTTACAAGTCATTAAGAATCGAGTCTACATTAATCATTCAACTGGGAGAGGGGGATACCAAAAAAAAAAAAAAATTGAACATTTTTTCTTCAACGTATTCTAATAAAATAAAATAGTCAAAAAAATAAAGACTTCATAGAATTTTATTATTTTCTTTTCAAGTATCCTAGCTTCTTCCTCCAACTCTTGCAGAAAACTATCGGTTAAGTCAAAAAAATCATAAAATATGCATCTTTTATGAAATAATAAGATTTTATATAAAGATCAATTAAAATTTACAATTAAACTCAAAACATAAAAAATGCGAGAAAAAAACAAATAACAGCTAACATATGAAAAATTCGACTTTATCAGCATGAGTGATGAGTTATTCTAATCGGTTCAATTCTACTCCAATCACGCTCACATGAACAATTATTAAACATTTTTATTCTGATTTTTTTTTTCAGAAATTATATAAGTCGGTAAATGTTAACTCCCATAGCAGGGTTGTCGACTACTAGATAATTTTATAAAATACACCAACATGCACATAAGACCCGCGTGCCACAATCAGTCAAATCACATTTGATCAAATTGAAGGTTTACCCTCGAAAAACAGGACCTTTAATTAATTATTTCCCAACTAGGGTATACGAATCACACATTTCATAAGGAAAATTATTTTTAAATTTGTACAGTACATTCACTATTCACCTAACACACCTCTCCTACACTGAAGTAGAAAATGAAAAACTAAAAACAAAAATAATTAGTATATGTTATTAAATACATAATTTTCTCCGTTTTCATTTTTAATACTCTTTTTATTTTTTGTAATAATTTCTATAAGTACATGTCTCCCTCCTCCATGTCTCAAACCCCTTACTCTCATTGGCTACTCATCTTTTCCTTCATTTATCCATTCCACTCACCATTTTCCCCCAAAACCTTTTCCCCTGCAATGGAGTCTGTATCTTCCTCCTACACCTCCTCCCTCACTCTCCTCCTAATCCCGTCCTCAATCGCCGCCGCCGTCCTTCTCCTCCTCCTCGCCGCCCTCCGCCTCCTCAAATCCCGTATCTGCTGCCCCTGCCAGATCTGCCAGTCGTACCTCAAATCCAGCTGGACCCTAGAGTACAACAATCTCTGCGACTGGTACACTCACCTCCTCCGCTCCTCCCCCACCCGCACCGTCCACATCCACGTCCTCAACAACACCATCACCGCCAACCCGGCCAACGTCGAGTACATGCTCAAGACCCGCTTCGACAATTTCCCCAAGGGCAAGCCCTTCTCCGCAATTTTAGGCGATTTACTCGGCCGCGGCATCTTCAACGTCGACGGCGACTCCTGGCGGTTCCAGCGCAAGATGGCCAGCCTCGAGCTGGGTCGGGTCTCAACCCGCTCCTATTTCTTCCAAATCGTGACCCGGGAAATCAACCGCCGCCTCCTCCCCCTCCTCCAATCCGTCTCTTACGAAAACAAATCCCTCGATCTTCAAGACGTCTTTCGGAGATTCTCGCTCGACTGCATATGCCGATTCTCGTTCGGAATCGACCCAAAGTGCCTCGAGCTCTCATTACCCCTCTCCCAATTCGCCGTCTCTTTCGACTTAGCCTCGAAACTCTCGGCCGAGCGGGCAATTCTCCCGTTCCCGATAATCTGGAAAATCAAACGCCTGCTCAACATCGGCACCGAAAAACAACTCCACGAGTCGATCAAAACAATTCACCTACTTGCCCGTGACTTGATTCGCCACAGAAGGGAGCACGGGTTTTCAGGGCACGACGACCTTCTGTCCCGATTCATGGCCTGCACAGAGGATGAAACTTATCTTCGTGACATAATCGTGAGCTTCTTACTCGCGGGCCGGGATTCTGTGGCCTCAGCCCTCACGGGCTTCTTCTTGCTCGTGGCCCAGCACCCGGAGGTTGAGGAAGCCATTTTGAGTGAGGCAGACAGGGTTTTCGGGCCTGAGCAGGGCCCGAACAGCTGCGGGCAGCTTCGGGAGCTGCACTACTTGCATGCTGCTGTGTATGAGAGCATGCGACTTTTCCCGCCAATACAGTTGGACTCAAAATTCTGTTCGGAGGATGATGTGTTGCCTGACGGGAGCTCTGTGAGGAAGGGGACTCGAGTTACGTACCACCCGTATGCTATGGGGAGAATGGAGGAGATATGGGGGCCCGATTGCCTGGAGTTCAGGCCCGAGAGATGGCTTAAGGATGGGGTGTTTTGTAATGTTGAGAACCCGTTTAAGTTTCCGGTTTTTCAGGCAGGGATAAGAGTATGTCTTGGGAAGGAGATGGCTATCATAGAGATTAAGTGTGTGGCGATTTCGATCTTGAGGAGGTTTCGGGTCGGGCTTTTTAAGCCCAAGCAAAGCCCAGTGTTCTCACCTGGGCTGACGGCCTCATTCAGGGACGGGCTTTCGGTTTTTGTTCGGGCCCGTGAGGAGTAGTGATTGCTAATTCGGTTATTGGATGTTTGAGGAGGATTGTTTATATCATCTATATACTGGATTGCAGAAGATTGGGCAAATGTATGATTAAATCAATTAATTAAGTGTGAACTAAGATGTCACAGCTTGAACTCTTCTCCAAGTTGGGAATATCTGTGGAGCTGTCAGCTGAGTGGTGGTACATCAAATCCAGTTGCTGTTTTTCGGTATCGTTTATATGCCAACTCTTGGCGGGCCTGGCCAATATGAATGTAGGCCTCTGTTTTAATGATATATGTGTCTTGTTGAAAAAATTATGATTGCCTAAGGTAAGGCATGGCTAACGGCAGTCTTACTCAAAATATTGTGTTTGGCTGTTGATGGTTGTTGAGGAATTAAATGAGAATGTGTAAGTGTTTGAGAAACTGTAAAATTAAGACCAGTTGACCGTGTCCGTTTAGTTAAAATAATGTGATTGGATGAATAGTGTATTAAGGTTGATGTGGTGTGCATGAATGATTGATTGATATTATTTAATTATATTGATAATATTGATGATAGTGGAGTTGAGTTAAATAAAATGGTTGAGTTAAAATGTTAGAATTTTTTTGAAATTTTTTGTATACAGATATACCCTAAATCTCTGAGTTTGTACTGCTAGTAATATCCCCCACACTTTATAAGAATATCACATGGACTTATTAATACATTCTCCTCTGATACTGCTACTATATGGACCGCGTACCTCTTGTTTGGGCTTTCCTCCACGTAACATCCAATAATATATTTAAAAATAGAAAATCACTATATATAACGGAAATACAGCCCTTGTCTATGTTAAGGTGAAAAGGTGGTGCTACAAAAAAAATTGGTCTTCTTACAAATAAAGGGAAATTTTTATTTATGTTATGTGATTTTAAATTAATTGCAACTTTATCATAGAAGATGAAATTATTATGTTTATACCTAAAAGACCTTATTTATCTATATTAATGCCTAAAGTCAGTTACCATATCCTTCCCACCTCCATCCCCCTTTTTATGGGCATGATTAAGAGAGAGAAAATAACTGACTCGTTTAATTCCTTAATTCGCGCAACTTGAATTCCTTAATTCACGCAGCTGTCAAGTGGTATATATTGGGTTTATGTTAGTATATTTTCAGTATATGTTGCAATGAAAAACATGTTTTCTATCAAAAAATTATGTCTTCCTATTTTTTCGAAAAGAAAGAAAAACACGTCGCCGAGCAGAATTTTTTCGAAAATCAGTCGACCGACGGTCTTCATTCAGAATTTTTACGTGATCTCGAGTGTATATCTTAGGTATATTTTATGTATATGTGGGTTCTAAAATCGATTTTGAGAAACGATTGAAACTCGAGTGTATATTTAAAGTATATTTTATGTATATGTGGTGTCGCGGATTTGAATTACGTGAATCTCGAGTGTGTATTTTATGCATATTTTATGTATATTCTATGTATATTTTATGTATATGTGTGTTGTACAACTTTGGTATATACCCGCAACGTCTAAATTTTCATATCTGATGGTAACATGTAAATCATGTACAGAATTTTCAAACCTGAAACATACATATTGTCATACTGAAACATATACTGAAAATATACTATATATACCCACAGCATATACCCGCAATATGTACAGAATAGAACTATCTATCAACAAATCAAGCACACCAAGTGTTCAACAATTACCCTCTGAGAAGATTTTCGTCAAAACAGATAGAAAAAATTATATATTTAACATATACTATACATATACCCATCATATACTGTACATATAACACAATACAACACAACCGTAACCAGGTAAATTCGTATAAAATTAATAGCAAACTACGTGGAGATATGGCTTGATTTCATGATCCCCAAGCCAATTCCGAAGCTCGAAATCGCAAGACCAATCGATTTTCAATCGTACAAGAAAACAAAAAATCCAAAAAATCTTAACCGGGTAAATTTGTTTGAGATAGCCTCCGAGCAGCCCATCGCGAACACTTTTCTCCCGTTGACGAGACCACCGGCGATGGCCCCGCATACGAACAGCACCGCATCGAGGAAAGTCGCGATCCGCTGCAGCCCTAGCGTCGGTGATCGATCTCCAGCCGTCCTCGCCGTCGCAGCCGCGAAGAAACGACCGCACCTTGACGGGGAGGCAGAACGCCACCTCTCCGACACCACCCCAAATCGCCGCCCCCTGAGCCAACGGCGCCCATTCCCATCGCCGTCAATAGCCAATTTCGGCCAGGGGTAATTGAGTAATTGAAAATGAAAGAAAATTAAAAGGGGAATTTTTAGAAGTAAATTTGCAGTGAAGAGGGTGAATTTGAAGAAGAAGAAGAAGAAGAAGAAGAAGAAATGGAGATCTGCGAAGGAGGAGAAGTAAAGGAAGAGGAAAGAAAAGTGACGGGAAATAAGAAGAAAAGAAAGAGGAGGAGGAAAAGAAAAAGGGAAAAGAAAAGAAAAATGTATTAATTATCTCAATTAATTCATATGGAAAATTTCAATGAAAATAATAACATTGGAATATATTTACGTTGGAATTTTTCATTGAAATTTCATCACATTCGTGTAGTGTACTTGAATAGTTAAAGTCTCTTTGTTATTGTCTCCAATATACTAAATCCCACATGATTTTCAATATTCTCTGTTAAGAATTAAAAAGGTTCATAAAAACATTTAGTTGAGTAAGGTCATAAAATTACTTTCTGCTTGTGACTTGTGTTCTTGATCGAGGTTGTGTTCGTGATCAATGTTGCATTCATGGTGATCTAATTCGTATTGAGTTAAGGTATTTTGCATCAAGAAATTCATTTATATTATTTTCATCTAGGTATTTCATTAATTCATAAATCTTTGATAATATAAGCATTGGAAAGGATCATATGAGAAAGGAGGATAATGAAAGAAATAAGAATGATTGTAGACCATTAGATCATACATATCAATGGTTAGGATAAAGTCAAAACTTAGTCAATCATTAATGGCAATATGGTAAATTAACATATATTGTGGTAAAAAATACATAGAGCTCATTTGTTAAGTCGGATAGGATTAGACAATATTTATCTTGTGGACCAAGATTGTACTGTTGAGATAATGTGATATCTATGTTTGTTAAGAATGATTTGTCCAAGATAGGATTATGTTAATTTTTTGTGTTCTACATTTGTTTTCCTAGATAAGATAGAGGATAAAGGTATGAATTACCAATATGCCCCTAATTTAAAATAAATACTAAAATAAAACACATGACACCTTTTTTTATATATTCTCAATTTATTTTCTCTATCACATATTTTTTCACGATTCATGTTGTAGATATTCTATTTCAACCGGTTCTATTTCTTTTTTTGCTTCTGATAGGTCCTTTGATTTATCTTTTGAATTTTTCCCCTTCCTGCATATGTACAAACAGTTCCTATATTGCATATCTGTAATTCTTCATCTTTTTTTTGTTTCATATTTCCTTTATATTGTTACATTTCACTTATCTTGACAGATGAATTATACCAAATCTTGTTGTTCAACGTTTTCATGATCACGCTGTTACATTTTTATTTTTATTTTTTTGTGTGTGCACTCTTGACCCCTCCCGCCGGTTGTATGATCAACTATTACTAAACCAAGAGACCTTAGGCATGTAAAATAAACAAGCTGGAGATTCAACATGAGCAAAAATATGAGAGCTTTCTTCATATGTGCTACTTCTTTCAGCAATATTTTTTTACCATTTCATGTCTAGACTCCACTTAGTCAAATCATGTCTTCAAAACGTAAGGAGTAAACGCAATAACACTAGACAATATTAAAAGTAACAACCACAAATATGAACTTATAACATCACATTCCAAACAACATCGTGTAGTGTGTATTATAATGCATACATAACCAAAATAGACCGACATTACATGACGATCCAAATGAAAGCCTTGCTGAGATCAGATAGTTTTCCTACAAGCCTCCAATTATTGAATTTGAGGTCACAAGAATAGATTCAGGGAAGAAGAAACCAGGCCCATCCCCATACCTCTCACAGGCCACTCGCCTCAAATTTCTGAGAACCCAGATTAACTGCACTACTTTTATTGGGTTTCTTTACTTTGATCATCAGCAAGAAGAGAAAATTTTGCAGGCGTCACAAACATGCTTAAATTCATGAACTTCCTTAAATTGCATCCACGACTTGACCCACACCTTGGCCTGTATACCATGTTTTGACCACCATCTGCTACCTCCAGCTTTATTGGAATATAAGAAGGTAATGAATGTCAAGCAACGAGTGGTGTTCGGGACCATGTACTAACACTGGTTTGTGATAAGTTACGTAGTACATAAATGACCACAGAATGATTTTAATTAATTTAGAATTAGGAAGAATGATAAGAATAGTTCATTAACACTTTTTCACCATGAAATGTTAGAGGAATTGTGTCGCAAGTCTGCAACATTACCATGCCACGCCAACAGAACTATATAAACAACTTAATATCCCATTGACAGCACATGAAATATAAATTAAAAAGGATCAAGTATCTAGATCTTGGACCATATCCAACCTAAATAAGCTTTAGATGGCTTGGTATTGCAATATTTGAAAAGTAGAAGGCAAGACTTACCATGATTAACAGATACATGATTGTTCGAGAAAATCAGAGAGTGCGTGGAATACAAAGCGGTTAGCAAACATGGAATACAGAGTAGTTAGCAACCGAAGACCGAACCGCCGTATAATCTCTTCTCCGACACGACACCGCCCCCATTCCCTATCCAGCTGTCGAGCCTCCTGTCTCCGAGCAGCCCCAATTGAAACCCCCAAACCCTAGAACTGTAACGATGTCGTACAAGAAGTCACAGTGCCGATTCCATCAGGGCATAAGAAGCACGATGAGGGAATCGTGAGATAGCGGCGGCCGCTGGCTCAACTCAATTGCCAGCGGATGTAGGGGGAACAAGCGGTGGAACAGATTTGGCGACGAGGGTGCAAGAAGAAACAATCGAAGTTCCTCATTTTTTTTAGAACCGATAGTTTTCTCTTTTATAATGGTCATTTTGTAATTTAATTACAAATGAAGGTTGTTTTGGGTATAAAATATAAATTTTAGAGACAGAATGGACATTGATGAGCAAATTTCCTGTGCAGACCAATTTTATCTTGGCCCCTTCCTCAAGATTTTTTAGTCTTGCATTCCCAAGACAACACCATTTTTATCTCGGGCCGTGTCCAATCCGTCGGGCCGTAGTCTTTGCAAACAAACACAGGATTTTGGGTAGATTAGAGGCCCTATCTTATCTAATCTACCATAACAAACGTGCTCTAATTTTTTCTCGATTTTTAGAATAGTTTTTTTGGAGTTGTATTTTGTACTGTAATTTGTATTTTTGTGTCAGCATCGCTCAATAGTCATTTTCTAGCATATATCAAAACGAAAATATTAATTTAACATATATTCAATGATCTTTTTGATTTTTGATTTCATATATAATTCTGTAATAGATGGAAATCATCGTGTCTCATATTGCAAACTTTGTTTGTCATCATCCTATCAAATTAGATCCGACCGTTATATTTTTCAAACATTACATCTAAACCAATACTATTTTATTAGTATAATACACATGTATTATACAGGTGTTTGTTAAGAAATTTATATATAAAATTAATAATAAAAAATAATTTAACTTTTGAATATTATCTTTTATTATTATGTATATTTAAAATGACACACGTCACTCATGCGACTTATCATCTTGTATTATAATATTTTTTAACTTATATCGTAATAATTAATTTGTAGTGGAATTAATTTGAATAATTTTTTATAATTAATAATAGGTCACTTAATTTTTATTATAAATATAAGTATAATTATTTATTTATTTTTTACGTACAATATAAATGTCAAATCGAAACTCATCAAAACATAATTAATTTGATATATTATATTTAAAAAAATTGACGATAAATAAAAATGTAGTATTAAAACATAATTAATGCTTTTAAAGGATTATAAATATACAGTATATTTATGACTATTTCACATCTAGTTATTTTTGGATTGATAGTAAATTAAAATTCATCCAAGCTAATGGCAAAAATCCAAGCTTTAAGTATACACACTAACAGTTTGTTCTAGCTCAATTGATTTTTCCTTCATATTTGGGTCTTATTGGGCTAAGCAGTATCTTAGGTTCACATGTTCTTTTTTTACTCGACAAAGTTCACCTTTGAGAGTTCCCACCTTCTTATCTTTATCGCCTGCAATTTTTTGCAATGCAAAAAGTGCAGTTCTTGAAGATTCAATGACCTGATCCTTTTCAGTACTTGTCCGATTGGATAATTTCAGTCCGCTCTCCAGTATGACAGTTTGTGCAAGTACGGACTGAAGTTCAACCTCCTTTTCATGCGTGAAAGGCGAGGTGAATTGGTCATTGAGTGTGCCATTGATCTCTTTCATGTTTTGGAGCTCCTTATTTAGTTATTCAACATTTTTGTTCATGCCAACATAATGTACGTTCATCTTGAGACTTAATTTGAGCATGTAGATTTTTCATTACTTTTGTAGCTTGTATGCATTTTTCTATTGCCAAGAGATGTACGGGATTAGTGCACGTGCTTGAATATACATAATCATTAGATCAAAGTCATAGTTATGAAAATGAAGAAAATTCTTACCAATTTCATAATCGGAAGGACTATATATATGTAGAGGCAAGGCACAAAAAATCGTCGAGTGGGCAGACAACCATGTTTCCGGTATGCGATGCTGGTTCATCCGCATGCTCTTCATCTGAATCATCCCAAGTCCCCTTCTTCTTCTTCTTCTTCTTCTTCTTCTTCAGGTTAGCACAATCAAACTAGAAGTGCCAAAAACCTTTGCATTGGTCTTTCTCGACTTTTTGGTTCTCCGTCTTAGAAACAAAGATCTTGGTTTGCTTTTCTTGCAAAGGAGTCTTGCTGGGATTCGTCGGGTTCTTACCCTCGGAATTTATTCTTATTTTGGTTCTCCGTCTTAGAAACAAAGATCTTGGTTTGCTTTTCTTGCAAAGGAGTCTTGCTGGGATTCGTCGGGTTCTTACCCTCGGAATTTATTCTTATACAGCTTCTTACGCATGAGACCATAGTTTCTGGTAATTAGTGGGAAGACGTCCTTATATTCAACGTCATCCTCCAATGAACCACCATCCCCATTGATGTCTTCACTTTGAGATGGAGAAGCAAGTTTCAAGGCTAGTCCCTTTTTCTTTACTTTGTCATAATCTTTTTTTATCTCAAATGTTCAGAGGTCTTCAAGACGATCGTCAAGATCTAGAGGTTTGACTCGTTGAAAACTTTCAAGCACAATGATTGTTTTATGAAAACGAGCTGGGATTGCCCTCATGATCTTATAAACTTGTCGGGTTTATGAGATGTCCTCACCCAATATTGTACTTTGATTTACGAGGTCACAACACCTCGAGTAGTACATATCGATGGTTTCATCCTTCATCCTTATGTCATCAAAGGCCGAAGTTATGCGTTGAAGCTTGGAGGGTTTTACCGCATTCGATCCTTTGAACTGACGTTATAAAACATGCAATGCGTCTTTTGTCGTGATGCATTGGATGATCATCTTGTGGCGAGTCTGCTCAACATCAATGAGAATGGCATACAAGGCTCGAAAGTTAGCCTCTTCTTGCATTCTTTTCATGTCAGTTCATGTGTCGCATGGTTTGAGCTATTCATCGGATCGTGCATTAGTATCGCCTTTGTCCGAGGCTCTCTTCACCATCGGATGTTTCCACCCGTTTAACAGTTTCCCATGCACCTTTTCCGAAGGAACGCAAGAAGATGGTCATCATCCATTTTCAATAAAAATAGTTCGACCAATCAAGCTGCGGGGGTTGGGACATGGATCCATCATCGTGATTCATGGTAGCCAAATCACAGGCCACAGGATCTTTGTAATCGAAACGAAAAGTACTCTAATACCAATTGAAATTTTGGGGTATTACAAAAATTGTGCTTATACAAAAGACAATGTAAGCTCATGTTAATTTGCGGAAGCCAATGACTAAAACTGAACTTTTAGAAGAGCGTCTCACTCTCCCTCATAGCTCTTTCATTAAATGTTTAGGCAACAGGTACAAATAAGAATCACTCGCTTAGACTCCCGCTAGCAAACATACTTTGTACCCCCACCTACCTAACTATTCTTTTGGCCACGGCGTGGACTTAAGCTGCATGTATGGATCCCTCCAAGCAATATGAAGATGTTCGTCCCAAGCAACAAGTAGTAAAACAAACAAACAACTCGAATTACCAGCTCCCAATGATAAAAACTCTAAGCTCTCTAAAAGAATAATGAAATAGCTCGCTCAATATCCAGAACTCGTGAAACTAACCTATATGCAAAACAATAATGGCATGATTGGCATAATAGAATGAAATTTAATAGGAATGGAATCTGTTGAAGAATGCAATGAATACGAGAAAGGAATGAAACAAGTTTTTCCATTGATGTGTTTAGTATACAGAAGGAATAAGACCTGAACGGAATGACATTATCATCCTTTATTATCATTTATCATTATTTTATAAAAAAAAAAAAATATTTATATTATTTATTTTTTTTAGGATAATGATAAAATTATTTTATTTCTTAAAAAAATATACTATATTTTAATAAATAATTTTTTNAAGTATTTAATATATCTAATTAAAAAATAAATAAAAGTAAGTTTTCAAATTTTTTATTTGAATTTTATTTTTTAAAATAATTTTATTTAATATAATTTAATCATGATTTAAATATATATAATATATTTATGTTTATCATTATTTGTTAATTTTATTTTTAAAAAATTGATTCTTACAAACATGGGAATGAGAAAACCTTTCATTAATTATGGAATGGCTAATCCCATGGAGATGGGTTTTGCCATTCCCATTGAAATGGTCATTCATTTCTAAAAAAAATATACCAATCATGGAATAAAGAATGAGTAAGAGAATGATCATTCCATTCTCATGTCATTCCTTCATACCAATCATGCCATAAATGATATGCAAGTGTTACAAACGAAGTGTCGATTTCCAACAATAAGTTCATCAGAAATTGGGAGTTTCCAAATTTTCTCGATCTTCTCGTTCAGCTTTGGAAACTGAATCTCCATGTCTTGTAAGTCAACATGCACGAATATCTTTCCCAATCAATCTTCTATTGTAAAGATATTTATAAGGGTTCGACTTCTGAAGCACCACAAGATCTTTAAGATTTAACTCTCTCTCTCTCTCTCTTTCTCTCTCTCTCTCTCTCTCTATCTCTCTCTCTCTCTCTCTCTCTCTCTCTCTCTCTCTCTCTCTCTCTCTCTAGTAGTGTAAAACTTTCTTTCCTTGCCAAGTTTTGGAAATATTTTAATGTTTGATTTATTTCCTTTCTTGCTTCATTTATCCGGTTCTCATCCTCACGTTTTTTCAACTCTCATGTCTCACATTGGTCAATTCCTTTTATTATCTCATTGCTCTTCCTTTTCCTACAAGTAAAGGAAGACAATGTAATCCATACCATATAAAATATAAGGGAATATCAATACTAAGAAAATGAAATATGTATGAAATCTATTAATAAATCTCTAACTTATTTCCTTTTCCTAGCTAAAGGAAGATAATTAATTTCATATACATAATAAGAAAATAACTAAGGTCTTCGATTTTCTTTCAAACATTAATTTCATGTTATCTATTTCAAGAAATATAAACATGAAAAATAATTTTATTTTTGATTAATGTCAAATTCAATTTTCTTACATTAAATTTGGTCTCAATGTGTACTTTTATTTACTTTGACTTGACGATTCGTCTGATTATTATATTATCAATTGGTCTAATTGTTAAATCCTCTCACAAGTTCCGTTGTGTT